ATCCTGAAACAGTGTCCATGTACCTTCCCCTCTCTGATCTGCTACAATGTCCGCAACCCGGATTCCAGCTCATCACTTCTGAGCTGAATTTCCTTCACCAGGCAATGTTTGCTGTACATATCATCATAGATCACACCAGCATCCACCGGCTCACACATGCTACAACAGCAATGCACTGCCTGCCATTCTGTCACTATTCTATTTCATTGATTCATTTGCATGTTGAAGGTTTTAAAAGTCAATTTTTTAACTGAACTCTTCTGCTGCAGTAACATCTGATTTAAACCACTTGGCTAATCAAGATAGACACAAAAGAAATACCCACCAATTACCCATCTGGTTTCCTGTGATGTAGCTGTGACAAGTTGAAGCAGGTTAAAGGGGCTCCCTCCTGGTTTTTATCTCCCACCACAGCTGCCCTTCATACGCTAATCTCTTTATGTAGAAGTTGTCCCCATGTGATCTCGTGCTCTTTATGAAGCTGCTGACTCCACCCTCTCTCTATGTTAAAAACAAGTGTTGGGTTCAGAGTATGCAGTGCTCAGGGAAGCACTCTGAGCCAGGACAGCTCCGCCCAGCCCAGCTCTGGTGACAGACAATGCAGCTTCAGGCTTCACCTGAGCCTGAGGGTGCCACATGTGATTATGTTTCCTTTTTTTTATTTAGAGTTACAAATTGGTTGTTATTTGTAAAACATTTGACTGAGTGCCATTCCCATGTTTTGAGATTCTGGTGAAGACTGTTGTCAACTAAGCCAAATTGTTTGTCAACTAGTTACAATGTTTAAAAGACATTTGGATAAGTATATGAATAAGAAATGTTTGAAAGGATATGGGCCAAGTGCAGGCAGTTGGGACTAGTTTAATTTGAGACTGTGGTTGGCATGGATTATTTGGATCCAAGGGTCATTTCTGTGCCGAATGACTGATTCTATTGCAAATTAACAGAAATAGATAACCCAAGCAGCATTTTGTTTCAAAATTTGTCCTGTATATTCAACAACTGAGTTAGCAGCTCTGGGAACTCTGCTTAATCCAGTGTTTTAATACTTAAGAAATCAAGATGATGTTCTTGATAGCTTGAAAGAACACCCTTCAATCAATTCACACACAAAAAATAGGATCAGGAGTAGATCATATGGCCCATTGAGCCTGTTCCTTCACTCCGTATGCTTATGGCTGATCTTCAGCTTCAGTTGCACTTTCCTGCACACTCCCCCATGTACCTAGGTTCTCTGAGGTACCAAAAATCTGTCTGTCCCAGCCTTAAATGTATTTAACAAGGGAGTATCCACAACACTTTGGGGTGGAGGGTTCCAATGATTCACTACTCTATGATGAAATTTCTCCTCGTCCTAGTCCTGAAAGACACTCCCCTTTATCTCAGTCTGTTCTTTTGAGTTTTAGATTCCGTGACCAATGGAAACAATCTTTGGAACATCTACCCTATAAAGCCCCTTCAGTATCTTGTACTTTGTAATGAGATTTCCTTTTATTCTTCTAAACTCCAGAGAATACAAGACGCCAATTTGCTCATCAAAGGACAACCCCTTCATCCCAGAGATTAATTTAATGAACCTTTATTGTACTGCCTCCAAATTATATCTTTTCTTAAACATAGAGACCAAAACTGCACATTGTGGTTGTGGCCCCACCTGGTATGATAAATGAAAGATGCCAATCCCCTTGCAACAAAGGCCAACATGCAATTTGTCTTCCGAATTCCTGCTGTATTTGCATTTCGACATACCTTGCACGAGCACACCCAAGTATCTTTGCACTTAACTACTTACAGGCTTCTCACTTTGAAAGTTCTATTTTTCTGTGACCAAAGTGAATAATTTCACACTTCGGTACATTATAAACCATTTATCATCTTGTGCCCACTCACTTAACTTGTTTATCTCTTTTTGCTGCTTCTTGTATCCACCCCTCAGCTTATCTTTCCAACTATCTTTGTATCATCAGATGTAGATAGTTTGTTCTTTGTCTTTTCAAATAAGTCATTAATGTATAAATTATAAATTGCTGAGACCCCAGCACTGACCATTGTGACACCCATTAGTCACTGCTTGCCAAGTTAAAAATGCTCTATTTATGCCGGATATCTGCTTTTCATCTGTCAACCAAACCCCATTCATACTAATACATTACCTCCAACTCCATGAGATCTCTCTTTACCTATTAACCTTTTGCATAGCACCTTACTAAATGCCTTTTGGAACTCCTCGTGTATACATCTGCGGGTTTCCCTTCATCTATGTTGCTAGTTACATCTTCAGAAATAAAATTTAGGTTTGTCAAACACGATTTTCCTTTACTAAAACTATGCTGATGTATTCTAATAATCCTATGGTTTTCTAAGTGCATTTTCAAGACTTCCTTGATAATAGATTCTTGCATTTTCCCATCAATTGATGTTTGGCTAATAGGCCCATAATTCCCTGGTTTTTCTCAACCTCTTTTCTTGAAAAACAATATAAAATTTGCGATCTTTCAATTTGATGGGACCATTCTTGAATATGTGGAATTTTGCATAATTGTGGCTAGTGCATCCACCATCTCTGCAGCTATCTATCTGAGTTTTTTAGGCCGTTGGGTCCCAGGGACTTGTTGGATTTAAGCTCTTAAGTTTTTCCAGTAATTTTTCTGTGATATTAATTTCCTTATTTTCTCTTTAGCCTGCAGGTTGCCATCCATTTTTGAAACTAAACTTGTGTCTTTTGCTGTAAAGATAAACACAAACTATTTGTTCAGTGTAGCCTTTTTGATGGTTTCTAAAAGTCTCCCTGTCCTTAGACTTTTATTGTGTTATATTATGGGTCTGCTCTTTTGATCTAACACTCTTAACTTTCTGAGTGAGCCACATGAGTCTTTTTTGCTGAATCATAACTTTTTTTCCCAATGGAATGTACTTTTTGAACATATTGAAGTGTTCAATTAAACGTTTCCCACTGTTCATTTTTAGGCATACCTTTTAATCTATATACCAAACTCACCTTAGTCAGTTCTTCCTCCTACGCTTGTAATTGGCTTTGTTAAAGTTTGATTGTTGTTTGTATTTGGAGTATGCCACTTTCAAACTTAAGATGGAATTCAATGGTATTAGGTTCACTATTTCCTAGAGGGTTTTCTTTGCTATAACGTTACCACTTAATCCTAGATCAAATATGGTATCTTCTCTAGTTAGTTATATATGCTCTGAGAAATTTTCTATAAATTCATAATATAAGATCGAAATCCCCTGAAATTATCAGATTGCTTTTGTTCCAAGCTCCAATAATTTTTGTTTAATGCTCTGCCCAACATTATAATTACTAAAAAGGATCTCGACTGCCGCCAGTGGTTTCTGGCTCTTGCTATTCCTAATTTCTAATAATCCTTTGGTTTTCTAAATACTTTTTCACTTAGCATTATGAATCATACTCATTCTACTTAATGATCTTTCAAGGCCAGATCCTTCCTGATTAATGCCTTTATATCATCCTTTATTACCTCTCCTCCTCTGCCATTTTGCCTTTCTCTCTGAAATATTGTGTACCGTGAAATAGTTACTTGTTATCCTTAATCACTTTGTAACCATGTCTCTATAATGACGATTCGGTACATATCACTTACCTCTACTTGTGCCATTAATTCATTTTGTTGCAAATGTTTCATGCACTCAGACAAAAATCCTTTAATTTATTCTTTTATCTGTTTTCTAAAATGACCTCATTTACTGATATACAATCTTTGTTAAATATTTTGTTCCTCCCTGTCACACTCCACTTCTCCTTTCATGCATCCTTATACTGTTTCCAGTATTTTGACCTTTCTGGATTTCAAAATCTCTCTTCAAAGCTGAAAAGGAAGTTTAGAAAATGTTTTATTGAAGATTATGAATGATGTCAAACAGTTAAAAATTAATTGCAATCTTTCTCTTCCTTTGTAGAATAAACTGTATCATTTAGACAAAACTAGTGAAGTAAACATAATCAGGAACTTGTGAAAAGCTTACCAGAACCAGTGGTCACTGTGGACTGACTTGTGAACAGAAGGCTCTCATTAGTAAACATGAGATTGAATATTACAGTGGAGTTATGTTTTTAGTTTGCAAACATTTGTCAGTCGTAATCTCTAAGCATAATCCAAATTTCAGGATTTTGTGACCTTTGTTTTGGTAGTTCTTGTTCTTTCCCCATATAAAGATTTCCTTGGAGCAGAGAAGGCTAAGAGGAGAATTGATTGAAGTTTTTAAATTGATGAAGAGTCTGGATTGAGTAGACAGGGAAAAGCTATTCTCATTTGTAAAGGATCAGCAATGAGAAGACACTATTTCAAGTCATTTGCAAAAGAAGTAAATGTGATGTGAGTAAAAACATTTTCACACTGCAAAGAGTTAAGATATGGAATACTGCTGAAAGTGTGGTGTAGATAGATTCAATTGAGGCATTCAAAAGAGTATTAGATAATTATTTGAAGAGAAACAATGTACAAAGATAGAGAGAAAAGGAAGGAGAATGACATTAAGTCGTCATGCTGATTTGGCTCAATGCCTACACTGGCTCTCCAAATGTCCTTGTGCACCATAACAGTTCTGTGATTCTGTAATTTTTTTACAATATTGATCGAGGTACAAATGTTGGCTCGAGCACTACAGATAGTCATTTTGCTGTTTAAAATAATGCACCAGAATCTTTTATGTCCAGCAGCAAGAGATGACTGGTCTCAATTAAATATCCTTTAATAATGCAGCCCTTTCACAGTGTTGCAGTGGAGTGTCAATTTTGAATTTTGTGCAAAGTTGTGAGTTGGAACTTGAACCCAGAACTTTGTGACTCAGGCTGCTGAGTGCTACTTTATGTTACAAATTCACAAGCTATAAGTGTGACACAAACGTTTTGTCATTAGTTTTTAGAGTTATCCTCAGTTACTTCTATATCACTCTACATTCAATCATCAGGAAAGTGATTGAAAGGGTAGTTGAGGTGCAATCAAGTGGCACTTGCAAAGGAACAACCTACTTGTTGGTGCACAGTTTGGATTCCAGCAGGGCATATCATCTGACCTCATTACAGCCTTGGTTCAAACATGGACAGAGGTGTGAAATTGCAGGGGTGAGGTAAGAATGACTGCCTTTGACATCAATACAGCGCTTGACTCAGTATGGTATCAAGAAGCCTTAGCAAAACTGGAGTCGATGGGAATTGGGGAAAATTCTCTGCTGCTTGGAATCATACCTAGCAAAGGAAAAATAGTTGTGGTTATTAGAAGTTAGTCTTCTTAGACCAAGGATATCAGTGTAGGAGAACCTCAGGTAGTATCCTAGGCCTAATCACCTTCAGCTTTTTCATCAATGGTCTACCATGCATGATAAGGTGCTAAGTAGGGATGTTTCCTGCTGATTATTCAGTTTTGAGCGTTATTTGAAATCCCTCAGATGCTAAAGTAGTTGTGTCTAAATACGGCAAGACCTAGATAACATTCAGGCTTATGCTCACAAGTTGCGAGTAATGTTCTTGTCACACAGTGCCAGGCAGTGACAGTTTTCATCAAAATAAAATCTAACCATTTCCAATTGATGTTCAGTGACAGTACCATCACTGATTCCCCCACTGTCAACACTCTGAGAGTTACCATTCAGCAGAAACTGAACTGGACCAGCCATATAAATATTCTGGCTCCAAGAGCTCAATGGAGGCAAGAATTCTGTGGTAACTCACTTCCTGTCTCACCATCTCTCAAGTTAAGCGTGTAAAGAAATACACTGCTGCCGTGTTTCAATAGACACTTGACACAGACAGTTAGAGGCCAATCAAAGGAAAGACTTTAGCTACCTTATACATGTGGGGATACAGCTCGGGAGAGACCATTCAATTAATGAAGGTTTCTCTATATTCTTGTACAGTTTGCTGTTTACCGTTTGTCACATGACCATAATAGTATGAGACAGTTACAGTATTGATGACTCATTTGAAGGCTGGATCAGTCCCCTGTTAAGATAAATGCTTTGTGTGGTGAAGGTAATCACACTTCCATTGTGCCCATGACCAGTGATCATGTGTCCTTGAAAATACAAACAGGTTTCCATTTACAGCAATAAGCTACTTGTGATGTTAGAGAGTTTCTACTTTTACATAAACATTGTGGTTATGTATCTTTGTGGCTAAGTGGCTCATTTATGTCTGTGCAGCTATGAATTAAGCTTACATTCATTATGTTTTGCCTTAACCCTTAAAGCTCCAACCAAGGGTTACCTTACAGCAACCTCTCAGTCGGTCATATACTATATAGGCTCTCCACATCTAACTAATTTCTTTGTCAAATGTTTACCCACACTCTCCACTTGCCTGGGTCAGTGCACCTCCAAAACACTCCAGATGTTCAACTCATTTAGCAGCCTGCTTGATTGACAACTCACCCACCAGCTTCAACATTCACTTCCTTTTCTACCATTGCACATTGGCAGCAGTTTGTGCCATGAACAGGATGCACTGGAATAACTCACCAAAGCTTCTTCAACATTATCTTTACAACCCACAACCTCTACCATCTAGAAGGTCAAGGGTATTAGTTACATGGGAACAAAATCACCTTCACATTACCCTCTAAGCATCACACCACCTTCACTTGGAACCATATTACTGTTTCTGCACAGTCACTGGGTCAAAATCCTGGAGCTAACTTCTTACACAGCACTGTGAGTGTACGTACACGCCAAGGACTGCAGCAGTTCAAGAAGACTGGTAACCATCAATTTCTCCAGGGCAATTAGGGTTGGGTAATAAACACTACCCTAGCCAATGACACCTACATCTCATGAACAAATAAAAATAAATCTCAGGAATATGTTCATGTAAAAGTGTTCATTTGATTGTTGAGAATTTGTTCTGGAAGTCAAATAAAATAATAGCAGCACAGGCACTGCAAAGTGTTAGATAAAGAGCTGCAATTAATTCTAATTTATAAACACACATCTTGTACATCTGAGCCTCATAAAATTTCAGAATTAATGTTGCAGAAGTTCCCTCCCACGTAGTTGATTAACTTCCCAGTTCTGTTAAGGTCTGCCAGGATTAAAGCAGCTAATGAATGATTAATTACTTTGAAATGTAATCTTGTTCTTTTGTTGACAGTTTGCTCGCAGCAAGGTTTTGAAACAGCAGAAGACATAAATGACAGAACAACTTTTATTATTATTGGACAGGACAGTTCCCAACTTTTCAAGCACTGCGAAGGGATTTATTCATGATTGAAAAAGCAACTGGGATATTAGGTTTGCATCTCATCAAGGTAGTATCTCTGACAATGCAATAACTACCCCAAATTTGCTTCACGATTTGAAAATGTGATTTGTTTCTGAAATTTAATTGACCACGTACAGGCATCATGTTATACAATGTAAGCAGCTACAACATCAGTTAATAGTTATTAAGGCAGGATTCTACGTTCCTGCCCCAGTCAAAATATTTTCAAAATTAGCAACTTTATTGCTGTGATATAAAGATATAACTGCTGCATTAGTGTTCGGGTTAACAATTTGACATCAAGGAAAGGCAGCCTTCTAGGTTTGAACTCATCAGTAGAATGGAAGATAGTCACATACTGAAGGACTTATTGTACGGAAAGGTGACCAGAACCAGATACCTGAGGATGCCCAAAGCAAACGCTTGAAAGCATGATATGAAGACTTTAAACATTTATTATCGCATCTGGCAGTCACTAGTGGAAGGCACAGGATTTGCTTTCGTTCCTGGACTGAGTGTGCCACTGGCTAGGCTCGGATATATTGCCCTAACCTAATTGTGCTGGAGAAGGTGGTTGTGAGCTGCCTCCTTAAATCACTCTGGTAGGTACAACTCTAGTATTGTTAGGAGGGGGTGTTCCAGGATTTAGACTGCGAGACACTGAAGGAACTATGGTAAATTTCCAAGACAGGATGGTGAGTGACTTTTTAAAAATTTATTCATTGGATATGGGCTTCACTGGCTGGGTCAGCATTTATTGCCCACCCCTACTTGCTCTTGAGAAGGTGATGATGAGCTATGAGAAGACCTTGTGAATGGTCATATTCTCAAGTGTCTGCTGCCCTTGCCTTTCAATTGGTTGTGGCTATAGACTTGGAAAGTGCTAAAGAACCTTGTAGATGGTACACACTGCTGCTACTGAGCACAGTTGGTGGAGGGATTGAATGAGGTGCCAATAAAGTATTAAATACATAGTCTAACTCCTGAGTAAATATTTAACCCATCTCATATTCCCCAACTACAACTCCCCCGACCACTTTCACACACCACCCCCACCCTCCCCCGACCCTGACCTGACAATCCTGCAGGACCTGAGTCCCTCCTCTTGTTGCTGGATCCATCTCAGCCTCACTGAGGTGACCCTGACCCAACACCTGCCACCGGACCCCATCCCACCTAACCACCTAACCCACTCATCCTTCACGACTGGATCTGACACCCCTCCCTCTACCAATGGACACCCAGGCAACTTACCCTGCTTCACTCCCGAATCCTCCTACTGTTGGACCTGCCCTGCTAGACTGATCAAGACCTGACCAAATTCTCACCACTGGCCCCCCAACACCTGCTCCTGTTGGACCTGACCTGACCTAAGCCAACCCCCCCACACCCTCAACACACCAGATCCTAACCATTTCTGCTAGACTGATCCAGACCTGATTCCCCTGCCCCCTCCCATACCCACTACCAGGCTTGACTCCCACCCTGGACCCAACAGTTTCCTTGCCCCCTGCTAAACCCCATTTTTCACATTGCACTACTAAACACTTCCTGCCTTAGACCGTGGTATCAAACCCACTTGGCATCTGGCCAATCTGACACACTACCTTCCCCCTTGCCCCCTTCCCGGCACCCTATTAAGCTGGGACCAAAGCCCCAACTAACTTGCACCCCTTCTTATCTGCACACTGGCCCCCTACACTAGGCACCCTACTTACCTGGCACACGGCCACCTATCTATCTGGAATCCTACAGCTGGAGCCCTAACCCCAATACAGATGATACCAGCAGGAACCTAATCCACCTGGCACCTACCCACCCAGCTGGCTCCTTAGCTCCTTACCCTCTCAATACCCTACCCTCCCAACACCTAACCTCACATTTACCTTATGTATTTGACAGCAGCTGTCAAAGTGGCTGTCTGTGACTGTGCCTTTAAATTTCAGAATACAGCATGTGACTGCTGGGAAAGGCTTCCCTTCTCCCAGCAGTTCTGCATGATGAAAGAACTACCAGATTGGAAACACAGCTTCTCATTTCCAAGGGAGCACTGATTAGAATGTCATCTCAGAAATGTGGCGCCCCCTCCTTGTGTTTTTAAAAAAAGGGTTGCTGTGGCAATCTGCATGAGGTTGTCACTGTTTGGAAAATCCAGCTCTAGCATTCTGTTAGTCTAACAGGACCAAAAAGTCATTTTTATACTAATGCGCTATCTTTGAAAGAAGCCATTCTGTGCAGACATGCAACCACACTAAATTCCTCAGAGTACTGACAACCTGAGCTTCAACCTTGGGTTGAACAACAGGGACTATGATGGGGTTTGTGCCAGAATCATTTGAGAAGATAACAGGGCCTATGACAACATCGGGAGCAACACTCTGCATCTTTTACATATCTTCCAGGCATCAAGGCAAATTTCTTGCTAGGCAGCAGCAAGTAGTCTAATAAAGGGATTTACTGGTTGTTAATGACCTTATCAACGGCACATCACTCGCATTAATATTCAGCTTCCTATCTTACCAAATGCACCAAAACAACTGGATATTGTGAATTCTAGACATGGAAGTCAGAGTAGGTAGCTGGTGACTTCAGTTTGCTGCTGCTCCAAAGGACCTCCATGTTGGACACCAGGCACCAACATCTCAGAACACGCGACATGATCACTGGCCACATACACCTGACATCCATGGATATTGGTATCTGATATGTGTCAGCCTCTAAGAACTCTCATGCCACATCTTTGGTCTACTTAAAGTACACTTCTGTATTTCAATGCAGTATCTTGGGCTAAACCAGCAACTATTGTTGTAATGCTGCTGCAAGGACTCATGGTGCTCAGTGACATGCATCCAGCTCATAATGTAAACCAAGCCTACATCCCCGGCCTGTTCACTTGTCGTTATAGCACTCTTGCACTCTGAGCCTACCTAGATGCTCACTGCATCCTTGCCTTGCAGTGCCTTTTGTGCTTTGACACTTCAGGCAGAGATATCAAGTTCACATACTACTGTATTACGTACAATAGTCTAGTGTAAAGCCGGGAAGCATGTCCTATAGGCAGCAGGGGTACGAGACAGAAATGAGGGGCATAGACAGGGTTGATGCGAAGAAAATTTTTCCCCTTGGAGGAATCAATGACCAGGGTCATAGCTTTAAGGTAAGATTTAGAGGGGATGTGAGGAAAAATCTTTTCACCCAAAGAGTGGCGGGAATCTGGAAATCACTGCCTGTAAGCGTGCTAGAGGCAGAAACCCTCATGACATTTAACAAGTATTTAGATGTGTACTTGCAATCCTAAAGCATACATGGCTATGGACCAAGAGCTGGAAATTGGGATTAGAATAGTTAGGTGTTGTTTTTCACCGGCATAGGCTCAATGAGCATTGTTTCTGTGCTGTAGACCTCTATGACTCAGTCAAGTTACAAAGGGATAGCTTTTTCTTGATGTTTCCCAACACAGAAGAGCAGCTTCTGGTACCATTTCAGGCCTTGCCTGGGTGATCAGGGTCAGGATCCCCTCCATATAAGAGATAAAGAGCTGAATGATGGGCTGCATATCACTTGCCTTGAGTCTTTCTACCCAATTGGTCTGTTTTTCTCCTGGGATGAGAGAGAGAGGAAGGTATTAAAAGAGATGAAATTGGGTGGCACAGCTTTATTTTTGGTGCACATAGGGAATTGTTCCCAGCCAAGGAGTAGGCAGTGCAGAAGGCATGCAGGGTTAATGGTGTTGGGGGTTGGGATGGGTGGCAAAGTGAGGGAGAATGTTATAGCATGAGGCTCGATGGAAGTTAGGTACATTGGCAGAGATAAAGTGAGTGTGAGGTATCGGTGAGAAGACTGAGGGACTGAGAAGGCTGTGCAGCAAGTCAGAGTCATTGTGAGGCAGACTGAGAGGAGGGTGCAGAAAGTCAGAATGACCGTGAAGGACTGGGAGGAGGATGCAGTTGTCAGAATCAATATTCCCTCCAATTTTATTTTCCGTGCACAGATCTCCAAGGTCCATGTACTGCATCGACTTCTGAAATCAGAAGTCATTCCATCAGGACACTGGCATGCGCAGAACCTCAGTGGAACTTTGGAGTGGCTGTGCACCTTAGAAGGAAAGTTGTTCAGGTTCACTGTAAATCAGATTGAGAGGGTGGACCTGAGTGGAACTCAGGACACAAACAATGTTAAGAACTTTCTAGTCTATAGACAAGTCTGACTCGAAGAGGAGCCAGTCAGAGCTGCAATGGAGCAGAGCAACCGTAGGGTGAATAGTGGCAGCAAAGGTTCCCTATAAAAGCTTGAGAGGCATTGCCCAGATCGAGCTCAGTCAGAGCAGCAGCTGAAACCCAACAGGAATCCTGCCAGAATTTGAAAGGCTGATGAAGGTGCATCAGCGAAAAGCAATGAACTCATGGTAGGTAGTGGGTAGTTTTTTTTTGTCCACTTGAAAACTGCGTTAAGGAAAGAAACTGCATTCTAGATTCCTAATTTCTTAAAAGAAGTTTTAATTAATTTTCTACTTGGTTTGTTTTAGTGGAGAGTTGTTGCTTTAACTACAGGTATAGCAGGGGAGCTCAGTCCCATGTATTGTAGGCCTGCTGCATGTGGGAAATCTTAGATGCTCCTGGCAGTCTGGTTGACCACATCTGCAGGAAGTGCCACTGGTTTGATCAGCTTGAGCACTATGTTTTGGTACTTGAGCATCGGCTAGTGATACAGCAGTGCATCTACAAGGCTGAATGATACATGGATAGCATGTTTTTAGACATGGTCACCCCACAGCTTAGGGAAGTACAGTTTGGGAAGGAATTGGGTGATCCTCAATCAGAAGAAGAGAGATGGGCAGGAAGTCTGGAAGACTCCAGAGTGCAATTAACTCCAGAACAGTTTTTCTGTGTTGGAAACCAATCAGAGTGACAGTTCTTCTGGGGAGTGCAGTTAGAGCCCAGCTTCACAACCGGGGGAGCAGACAGACGGACGAGAGAGCAATCAAGGCAAGAGGGATACAGACAGGCATTTCTGTGGCTTCAGATGTGACGCCAGGATGGTGTGTTGCCTCCCTGAGGCCAGGGACGAGGATGTCATTGAACAGGTGCAGGGCATTCTGAAGTGGGAGAGCAAACAGTCAGAAATCGATTGTAGGAACAAGTTACTGCAGATGCTGGAATGCACTGAATCTGTACTGTACTCAGCTCTGATGAAGAGTCATCTAGACTCGAAAAGTTAGCTTGCTTTCTCTCAATGGATGCTGTCTGACCCACTGTGATCTCCAGCATTTGTTTTCAGTCAGAGATTGATTGTTGGGACCAGCAATATAGGTAGAACCTACATTAGGATTATGATCTGCAACAAAAATTTAGGGAACTAGGTAGGAGAATGAAAAGCAGGACCTCAAAGTTTGTAATCCCTGGGTTACTGCTGATGCCAAATGTCAAGAAAGGGGGCATCACAGGGTCTAACTTTAGGAAATGAAACCAAACAAGTGGTAGAAGTGTCAGCAACAGAATATTTCAGTGACTGTGACCATAGCTCAGTAAGATTTAAGGTAGTCATGGAAAAAGACAAAGATGGACCAGAAGTATAGGTTTTGAATTAAGATAAGGTCGATTTTAATATGACAGGACAGGATCTGGCCAAAGTGGACTGGAAGCAGCAACTTTTAAGAAAATCCACATCAAAGCAGTGGGAGTCCTTCAAAAAGGAAAGGGTGAAAAGTGAAGGGCCAACATATTCCTGTTAAGGTGAAGAGTGAGATAAATAAATCCAGAGAACCTTGGATATTGAAGAATGTACAGGAAAGGATAAGAATAAAAGGGAAGTTTGTGGTAGGTAGCAGGACTCTGTACACCACAAGCCTAGCAGGATATAGAAGGTGCAGGGCATTAATTAAAAAATAAATTAGGAAAGCAAAGAAGGGGCATGAAAAATTACTGGCAGGTAAAATAAAGGAAATTACAAAATGTTTTTTATCAGCATATTAGGGGCAAGCATTGTAAAGTGCTTGATGACCGGCACAGACGCAATGGGCTAAAGGGCATCTTTCCATGCTATAAAATGAGATGGTGGCACTTACATTGGCAGGGTGGAGAAGGTCACTGACCTTCATCCTATGTTGCTATGCATTCCTCCAAATGGCTGAAACTCTATTGACCCAGGTGACAACCAGGCTGACGTGGTCTGCTGTTGTGGCCTCCTCTGCTGGTCATGGGCGAAGAGGACATCCTGCCTCTGTACCATGCTGTCCAGCAGGGCATTCAGATGCAAGCCTGAAAATCAGGGCATCGATTTTCCCTTTTCTGCCATGTCTGGGGAAAATGTCAGGCACTGGGTAGGGCAGTTCCAGACTGACAGTGCTTTTCTGGGTGCACAGTAGCCTTTTAAAGATAGCACCAGTGCCAGGGATTCTGCAATATTCTTGGACGGGTGAGTTGTTCCAGGAATGGCTTGTGACGGAAATGACACTTAACCAAAAAATTCATAAGATTCTGCCCAAACACAGGTAATGCTGTAAAAACACAGCAGGTCTGGAAGTATCTACAGAATTAATGTTTCAAGTCCAGCATGACTCATCTTCAGAACTGTTATGAGTGCTAATGGAGTTCTGAAGAGTTCTAGTTGAACAACTAGTTATAATCAGTAATGCATACGACTTTTTTTTATTAATAGTTTTATTGACTGTCTGTATTTGAAAATGAATCTGTCCAGACTGTGAGAAATGTAAAGAACAATGTGTCTCCAGTTTTTTTTTAATAGCTATTACTTGCTATTTCCTTTCATTAAAAACATAGTCACATTAATGAATGGGAGACTGCCTATTCTAAACATAAAATAGACAGCTTTAAACTTTCTTCTTGTCTTATGTTTTAGGTAATTTGCGCAGATAGAAAGATCTTATCAGACTGACCATTACCGCATTATTAGCAAATTGGATTTCAACAATTGCTAAAATTGTGGTGGGTGATCAATCTTGAAGGGACTCTGAAATAAGAATTGCCAACATCATATTTTTAGAGTTATCCAAATTAGCTGAAGGTTTTGAAATGTGGTTTGCAATAAGTCACGGAACTTAAATCAATCCATTTGTCAGTTATCAGTGCTGTCAGTTTTCAGCGTGAATCAATCAGGGATATTTCAGAAAACATGAAAACTGAAGATGTTTTGTTCTTGAGGTAGGAAAAATAATTTCTGTCCAGCATTGAAGTCTGTCTTGTATATTGACAAGTACAACTTTTGTGTCTTTTTGTTGGTTACTTAAACAGTCTTTAATTGTTAGATGAGTGTATGGTTTTACTTGATTGCACTGAATAAACGTTGATGTTATTCATTACTCAGTGTCCTAGCCTTACCTGACAATATATCTCTGCCAAAGTTAGTGCATTTATGAAGGGATTATTTCAAGATTTTTAATTAGGCCTGTGCAATTAATTGAACTAATCTAAAAGTCAAAACACCGTTTTAGATAATAAATGTATTAGGTGGGAAAATAGCTCCAGACTCTGAATAAATTATAACTAATTGTGGAAGTGTGGAACTGCCCAGACTTATCTCACATGTGGAACTGATAAATATATGTTGCAATATTATATGAATAACTCACAGTTACCCGAGTTTGGTTTGGCCGTAGCACCATACAATACACATGTTACTGTCTTGGCTTTATAGTGTAGCATTCCATTTCTTTTTATGAAGACCTGACCTTGAATCAGTATAGTAAGGAAAGTTGTAGTTTCTTCAAAAATGTCTAGGGAATATGTAATTGTTTTAAAGAGTTTTTTTTAAAATAACTTTTAAGAATTTACATTATAAATGGATCAATTACAATTTCCTCATTAGGCCATATGACATGGCAACCCTCAATCTGGAAGTGGTACCAACAGGAAGGAAGTTAAGGTATGGATGCCATATGATCAGAGATAAAGAAGCTACAGTAGGAGAACACAGAAGCTGCATTCACAGGGAGCGCTGTACATGCTGTTAAAACAGTCAGGAAGCTGAAGAAAAGGTTAGAGCAGAGATTGCAATTAGGACAATTCCATTGGTAAAGCTCAATATTTTAAGAGCTGACCAGATTGTTTGACCAGATTAATTAAAGAAGTTTATAGATTAAAGGAGTTTCTAGAAAACCTGTCCCATTACTATGGTTGTGATGTAGCCAAGTAAGTTCTGCAAGACCATACCATTTAGGAGATGATTTTCTGAGGAACTCAGAAGAAGTGAACAACATTAGAACATAGGAAGTGAAGCTACTGTTACAGGTGTCTTGAGACCAAGTCTTTGAGTGAAATGAGAGGTCGAGTGTACCAGAGGTTGAGTTGGAAAGATCGAGAGACTGCATGTAATGCTCCATTTGCTTGGGGAGTATTTGAATATTTATAGTCATATGAGGTAGTCTTCATTGTTTTATGCTATTCAATTTGTTACTTATAGTTCATACTGACTGGAATTTGCCTGTTGATTCATGTTCAATCTACATCGATTCTCATTTGTGTTAAAGTAAACATTACAAAAAGTGAAATGTTGTTGGTAATTTTGGTTACTTTGACTATTCGGTAGAAGAAGTTCAGAAGGGCCACTGGACTCGAAATGTAACTCTGTTTTCTCTCCATATAGATGCTGCCAGACCTGCTGAGTTTCTCCACAATTTCTGTTTTTGTTTCTTTTACTTAAAGGTCAACTTTGGAGCCAGCGTTGCCTCACCTTGGTGGGATTCATTGTGGAAATAAAATCAGCACTGACCATCCAGCAGGATGACCTCAGGAGATGGTTTATGGTATTTGATAAGGACCATCACAAAATGGATAATAGTGAAGGGCATGGTACTGCAGTCACTGGAAGGACAAACTGTGGAAGATTGTAAGTTATCATCCAAATTTGAGAGGTGTTGGGGATGAGAAGTTAAGATAATTTAAGGTTAACAACCAAATTCAGAAGAAGTTGTGTCTGAATTAAATCAAATTTGGGGTGGAAACATAGGGTTTTGCCTGTGGTTTTACAGTAAAGTTTTTTGAACCTAATAAATTGCAATGGCTTTGTGTATTTTGTGGGGTAGGGCTGAGGTTAAATCATGGATGGATTTAATTTGGACAAACCAATTAAAAGGTGTTGTGTCATTTAAGTCAGTTTAAGATATCAGAAGGGTTTTATTTTAATAATCAACAATTTATACTTGAACCAAACCATGTTTGTGCAGTTTTGTTCCCTATAAAATCCTGAAGTCTAAGGACCATTTGTAATGGAACAGCAACTTCGACAAATTATCTTTGAAGACTGGGTGCACTATTTCATGAGGTCTTTTAAAGTTCACTTGGAATGCTCTTTTGTAAAAAAAAAGTCAGAACGTTTTTAGTACAGTCTTCCCATTCTGTTTACTCCTGCTTACACCATTATTGTCACAGACATAATCTTCAAATTTACTCCTGAAAATTGGATCACTAACGAAGTGAGATTAAGGGGTTTATAGTTGCCTGTTTCTACTTTGTTAAAGGGCATACCTAGTTGCGTTGTTCTGGGCAAAGTAGCCTGTTTTGAGTATTAATAATAATTTCTTGTACCACTATTACAAGATGACAATCATAGTCATCTTCTCAGTGTACTCAAATCTATGGAAGATGATCTGCTGCGGCACTGACCTATGTGTAAATAAAAAGCCAGTTTGAGTAATATGATTGTACACTCAGGATTCTATGCTATGCTTTTGGAAAATTGTTGATTTGGCCTGATTCTCAAACCCAACCTTGCATTTCATTAAGTGAAAATAACAAGTGAATATTAAGAATCCAATTTTAGCAAAAGAATTCATGGAATTTATGTACAGAACCATTTAACACATCAGCCATGTCACAAACAGTGAACACTAAGAATCCAATATTAGCAAAAAAAAATTCATGTAATTATTGCACAGAACCATTTAACATTTTGCAGGGCTGGATGAACACAGCAGGCCAAGCAGCATCATAGGAGCAGAAAGGCTGACGTTTCGGGCCTGGACCCTTCATCAGAAAACGTCAGCCTTTCTGCTCCTATGATGCTGCTTGGCCTGCTGTGTTCATCCAGCCCTGCACCTTGTTGTCTCGGATTCTCCAGCATCTGCAGTTCCTACTATCTCTCATTTAACATTTTAACCTTTTCATAAACATGGACTTACTTCCAGTGGAAACACTCTTATCCTCAAGGAAAAGTGATAATACATTTAATTACTTTGCTATAACACTTTCTTGATATTCTTCATTGAGGGTATCTTCCTCATTGGTTCACTGGAAATAATTTTTGGCTACAGTTTATGGAGAATCACAAATGTAATCCATTCACTTTTCCTTTAAGTTATTACACATCTCTTAAGCCTTATTATAAACATCTTGTGTATCTTCAAGTTCCATTATTGAGAAAATTCTCCCTACATTGTCTTTTCCAGAGCTTCCATTTCTTCTGGCAGTTTGTGGGTCAACTTTATCTGTGTTATCCAGCTCCAAAAAGTCTTCCTCTGAAGCTGAACTATAAATGCTACCATATTTACTTTGAGTAAAGAGTCTTCTTTTGCTTTCTGCTGAGAGATCTAGAAGGTCAAATGAGTCACTAGAAAGTATGCTGTCATCACTAATGACACTAGAGGGGCGGCTTACATTTCTCTGATATCTCCCATTTGATAAGATCAGGTCCTTTAATGAAGCAGAAAGTTTTAGTGATGAGCAATCATCTGGCAGATCTAGACTGATGGAAAACTTTCCATTTCGTTTCAGAATTCCCTTTTTCCTGTATTTAACCTCTCCTGATGAAGGCATTTCTGACTGTTTTCCACATGTTCTGGAAGGAATTTCACCTGTATCCCTGTCTATCACTTCACTGCCTTCTGGAGAAGAGGAATAGCCAGATTCTCTGTGGTAAGAGTTCTTTAGGATCCCTTTCTTTGGTGTACTAGTTAAGACTGTAGTTTGCACTGTGTGCACCTTCTGAAACGTGTTTATAGGTTTTGTGATGGTTCTGCTGGTTTCAGTCCATTGTGGTTGCAGATCCATGTCTGCAGATGAAAGAAACTCATTGTCAAAGCTGCTCCTAGATTTTAGGATTCCCTTTGGTTTTTGCTTTGCATCTTTGGACATGGGTTTCTGCAATTTCACATCTTGTTGTGGTTGTGTCATATCTTTTTCTTTCTTTGACTTCTTTAAACAAACCATTTGCCCATCCCCTGTTATATGAGTAGAAACCTCATGCCCAGTACTCTCAATGGCTTGTACATTTTTAGCTTCTTTAATCCTTTGATTTGCACACCCTTCCCTGGTTTGCCAGTCAATATAACAGGCCGGCAGTGGTGAGTGACAGTCTTTTGCAGAAATACAGTCACAAACAGATGTGTCATAACCCAAGTTGACCCACCAATGGTTTGCAATATCTTCAATTGTCGCACGTTTGTCTGAGTCCACTGATAACATCCAGTCAATCAGGTCACAGGCACCTGTTGGTGAAAACATGCCAACATCTTACAATGAATCATTACAAAGCTTTCCAATTACATTTAACTAGGAAAATTAAAAAAAGTAACCACCAACATTCATCAGTAAAAACACTCCATTCCATACTCCCTAAATTCTTCTATTGTTTAATTAGAAAAATTTGAGCAGAATGATTGCTGAAATAATATTGACTTACTGCAGAGAGAATCTTTAAGGGAATGCGAGTACAATGATATTTACTTTAATTGTTCAGTGTTGATTTATTATATCATATTTTAAAAATCTTTTCCTTGCTTTCTCTAGCTTTCTTTTCTCTTGTACCATCTGTATATTGTAACTTATCCAGTGTAAAATTCACAAAGCGTAGGCTATAATCAATTAAAGTGCCAGAAAAAACATTTGCATGAAATTCTACTCCTTAAGTAAACTTAGCCTGAGTTTTACGGAAAGCCAATGGTAACATCAGTGTGATTAGAACAACTGATCTGTTGACCTGGTATATTTGTTCTTGCACAAAACAGTTAAATGTCATCTTTACTCAACAGATATCTCTTGAGTTAGAAGATTATGAGTTTAAACACAGTCTGGACTTTGAGTACATAATCAAAGTTGACACTTTAATACTAATAAAGGATGTAAAGTTTCAATTGTCAATTGAGATTAAAAATCCTAGGATGTTTTTCAACACAAATAGAGTCTTATGGTATCTTTGCTGGCATTGATCTTTCAAAAAAAATCATTAACGGATTAGTTGGACATTAGTTTCATTTGCTGAATATGGGAGCTTATTTTATGCAAATTGGCTGTCATGTTGACTTCAAAAACAACGCATTGGCTTTAAAGTGCTTTATAATATCCTACATCATATAAAAATCCTACATAAAATGTCACATAAATTCATTACCAGACTGCTTTAATTAATTTTGGAAAAACTGCTCTTGACATGGACTACACCAGCAATGCAGCATTTACTGCTCATCCCTAGTAGCTCCGAGGACAGTAAGAGTCAATTACATGAAGATTCAAATTACACAGGAGTGCAAATTTTCTTTACTGAAGGACATTAATTAACCAGTTATGATTTTACAACAGTCTGGTAACTCTGGTGCATTATTTGGTTACCAGATCAATTTAATTTCGCTAGATATTTGCAAATCTTTGAGCTGAAGGCTTCTACTTTAAAATTCAGTATGAGAAATACTAGGCCAGCAGACCTTTATACAGAAACTTGCCATAGTGTATTCATTATTAGTTCAAAAACATCCAGCTATTTTGTGAGATTGGTTTAATGCAATCTCATAATTCCTTACCAGAAGTCTGGTGAGGTTTCTTGTATTCTCCACAACTGATCTGCTGTGTTAAAGTTTTGTAACTCCTGCTATCAAATGGCATTGTTCCATACACCAGTGTATATAGCAGAACTCCCAGGGCCCAGCAATCAACCTAACACACAACAAAATATATGATAATCAATCCATTAAACATAGCAAATAGAAGACTGTCTCAAATTCTATTGGTTAATTCAATTTCAGAGAATATGTGACGTGTTCCTTTGTATTAACTGAACAACACAATGGATTTGGTTCTTGATAAGTAATGATTAAAGTGCCAGTCAATTTTCAAAACTGTCTACTTTCTAACTGAGATAGTAGGAACTGCAGATGCTGGAGAATCCGAGACAACAAGGTGCAGGGCTGGATGAACACAGCAGGCCAAGCAGCATCATAGGAGCAGAGAGGCTGACGTTTCGGGCCTCGACCCTTCATCAGAAAAGGGTGAAGGGTCGAGGCCCAAAACGTCAGCCTCTCTACTTTCTAACTGACTTGTGTTATAATAATGTCATGTTAACTCTTTTGTCCCCCCTTTTGGGACAGGTCTGCACTGTAAAAGATCCCAATGCCCAGCCAAGATCTTTGAACATCCCCAAAGTGGGAAGTGTGCTGGATTCACTGAATAACAAGCCTGGAATTTTGACTCGCCACACATTCTCAGACAAAGTGGGACAACCAGATAGATATGGACATTTTGCATTTTGAGACTGCATTTAGTCAAAATCATTATTTGGAACTATGTAATAATTGTTTTGTAGCATCTTTGGATTGTGACAAAGTTTTCTAAAAAGCTGATGATTTGTTCCTAATTAATATCTCTCTTACCTCAGGTCCTTGATATGGAAATCCATTCACTATTTCAGGTGAGGCATAAAGAGGACTTCCGCAGTACGTCTCCAACAGTTGATCCTTATGATACGCGTTTGATAAACCAAAGTCAGCAAGCTGAAAAACATCCGCAAGAAATTATGAAACAGGATTACATGATAGCTGTGGTAAATTCAATTGTTCATTCAGATTTGAGGCTCACAGAGAAAGGATTAATTAATATCTCACTGGCTGTGTAAAAGAAAGGTTCTGTATATGTCAGAATTTTTACATAATATTTTGAGGTGTATACTGTGAACTGTAACGGTGATTCACGAAGCACCTGGATGAATACATGAATGGGAAGGGAATAGAGGGATACGGATCCTGTAAGTGAAGACAGTTTTAGTATGGAAGGGCAAAATGTGTTGGCATAGGCTTGGAGGGCCACAGGTCCTGTTCCTGTGCTGTACTGTTCTTTGTTATGATTATAAAGTCAATGATCACACCGGTCACATTACATCAATTGCAAATGCAAGTGTAGAAATCTGAGTCACAGTACAGGAGAATGAAAAAGTCTGTTATTTTCAGCAACATTCTATCTTTTTTGTTTAAGACACATGCAGTATTTGTACCAGTGAGTTGATATATTCTTAATATCCAAGTAAAATTTAAAATGGTATGGAATTTGGGGTAGTTAATAAGACTGTTTTACTCATCTTTTGAGCTGGGTATCACAGGGAGTCTTAAAATGAGTTTGTTGAGAGAATGAAAAGTAAAATTAGAAGAATTCTTATTGCTGAGGTGCTCATTGTGAATTTTAATAGGAGAAAGAATATTTACAAGATTGGAATTCTTCAAATTCCACTTACTTATTTTAGTTCTGAGGTTCCTGCCAAATAAGGTATTGTATTCCTCGCTTTTTAAATATTATTTAGGGAAGTCTGGAAGCTGACATAATTTTTGTACTTGATTCAAATAGTTAAACTTATTGGAGAAAACTAGAGATCAAATAATGATCAAATTTCAAATGAATCTTCTTCCAAAAATCTTTTATAGAGCAATATATTAAACATTCTGCCACCATTTAAAATTCTAAATAAAACATTTATTCTTCAAGGTAAACAAGGAATATTATGGGTGTCATTTTCCAATAATTCTTGTTCGCCTCCCTCTTAACTGCCCTTTAAAATAGAGTTCCTGCTAGTCATGGAAAACTTGGAAAATTCATGAAATTTAACAAAAGATGAAACTTTTTTGACTTTGGGCGTGGTTCCAAGCTTCTGCAAAGTTTCTCTGACATCTACTCCCCTGTCTCTAATTTATTTGCACGCTCAGAATTCAGTATGGGTTTTGTCTTTCTGCTGCCCGATCCTGCTCATGACAACTGCAGATCGGTTGTTTTGGTGCCCTCCTGAACAACAGCATTAACTGGCTGAGTTGTACACATCAGATTTCCAAGTCCCTCCAACATTGATTGTCTCATATGAGGGGAGTTATATTTGTTAATGTCATATTTTTGTTCCTGAAGAGACAGTGAAAGCACTTTAGAGTCCAAACACGGAAAACTAAAAAGTAATTGAATTGTCTTGGAATGTTGTGGATACTACCTTTAATAAAGATGCAGAAGCCCTGTCAAAATATTAAGGGTTTGTCTATCAGTTTTCATCCAGTTTTGGGTAATAAATTCACTTGATGCTGTTTTGGGGAATGGCCATATTTTGATAAGATAGCAACTTTGGTATGAGTGGGAAATTTTTTGGACATCATTTAGTACATCTGACTTTCACCATGTATTAGAAATTAGATCCTTGGCTTTTCTTCCTTTCTATGCAAATTCTTAAAATAACTTCACTAATAATTTGACTGGAAAATTAGATAGAGATATTATAACAGTGAAACCACGTCTAACAGAAAAAGAGCTAAATGTGCACACGTAGGAGAGAACAAGTGGTAGCCAGAATGTTTGGAATAATTTGAATCACCTTTTCAAATAAATAGGATGAACATATAAGAGGCAATAACTGAAAGAATAAATGCAATAACTTCCTCAAGAAAAAGATTATGTCAGATTACCTATAAATATATTAATTAGATCAAAGTAATTGTTGGGCGGCATGGTGGTTCAGTGATTAGCACTGCTGTCTGTCAGCACCAGGAACCTTTGTTTGATTCCACCCTCGGGCAACTATTTTGGAGTTTGCACATTTTCCTTGTGTCTCTGTGTGTTTCCTCTGGGTGCTCCAGTTTCCTCCCACAATCTAAAGATGTGCAGGTTAGGTGGATTGGCCATGCTAAATTGTGCACAGTGTCCAGGGATATGCAGGCTACATGGATTATCTGTGGGAAATGCAGGTTTACAGGGATAGGGTAGGGGGGTAGGTCTGGATAGGATGCTCTTTGGAGTGTTGGTGTGGACTCGATGGGCTTCCACACTGTAGAGAGTCTATGATTCCAAGTTCTGAAGCAAAGTGTTGTTTTGAGAGGACAGATTCATTGTGGCTTACTGAACAAATATAGAGCTAAAATAAATCAAAGAAACCAAAAACATATAATGTTTTGTTGCTGAAACCATAAAGACTTCAGAACACTTAATTAAGAGCTGGCTGTAACTCTCCCTATTTAACAGAGGGGGTATAAACTAGACCTGCTGGATACAGTGACTACACAAAAGGGAAGCATTTACTTTGCCATGTATTTAAGCCCTTAGGTTATTTTCCTGCTGTCAGTTATGGCCATAAGATTTCATAATGATTTCACAGTTCTCCTCCTCTAGTGGTTTTGCCCTAATTTAGTGCTGAAACTGATCGTTATTAAGTGCTAGTACTTGTGGACAGGATTTTGCAGGATTTCCCTCTCCACCATCTGAAGAGTTGGCAGCGAACTCAGCCCTGCCAATCACAGCAGCCTGACAACCATTTAAATTTCCAAGGAGTTTCAGTTAGCTGGAGATAGGACTTCTGTCCCTTACTTGGTCAGAGATCCCATCTCAGGGAACTGCCTGAGAAACATGCAGGGGCCAGGTCAGGCATATTCAAAGTCCTGGAGTCCACGACTAGATAAATGCTGGGAATCTCATGGCAGAATGGGGAGGTTGAGACCCAGGAAGATGGGGAGTGGATCTGGGAACCTTGATGGAGAGGCCAAGGGCAAGAAGCACCATGGGTAAAAAACTTTTGGGGAGCTGAGGAACCAAAGACAGCCTTTGAAGAAGGCACCCCCCTACCATCTTTCCACAAGAGGCCTAAGTAGGGTGACGTGGTGACTGCCCACCTGCCCCTCACCTCCTCAAAATTTAGCCTGGGCAGAAACCAGCACTTCAGTGGTCAGTAATTAGTTAGCAGGGACGCATTGATTTTTTTTTTCTCAGCCAGTTGTGAGAGTTAGTTAATATTGGAAAGGTATTTAACTTATAGGACCACTGATTAGAATATTGCTATTCATAACTTAGAAGTGCAAATTATTTTAGATATCAGCAATGGATCAATCTCCGTTTTGCTCTTTTTACAAAGTGTGGCGACAATGTCCTTTCAATCCTGCAACAAGGGTTCAAAATCAGCCACCATTGGAATAAAGCCTTCTCCATAAAAAGGGATTTATTTATCGTGTGCTAGGTGCCTTCTTCTCTGAGTTATATTATACTTCAGAAATTAGAATAAAGCCAATGATTCACTTTAAGAAATATTGGCAGATCAAAATCCAGAGCAGTGTATTTTTCTTATATTCTTTCATAGAATTCAGATTAATTAAGGATATCTAGTAGGCGTGGATGATTTGGACTGCGGCTCTATTTCTGTGCTGTACAACTCTGTGACTATGTGGGCACTGCTTAAGGGATCAGCATTTGGCATTTGCTGTCCATTCTTAATGACTTGAACTGATTGGCTTTCTAGGTAATTTCAGAAGGTCTAGAATCACTTATTGACCAGGCAAAGAAGATAGATGATTTCCTTACCCAAAGGGTATTAGTGAACCAGATGGGTTTTTAATGACAATGCTAATTTCATGTACATCATTACTGAGGCTAGCATTCAATTCCACATTTCTTAATTGATATTAAATTCCTCCAGCTGCTTACCTGAGATTTGAATCGATGTCCCAGAGGATGAGCTTCAGCCTCTGCTTACTAGTTTAGAGACATTACCACTATGCTACCATGTTTGACTAATTATGCAAAAATGTATGAAGCGATTCAAGCAACAATACAAAAAAAGTAATATATTAAAAAAAAACTAACCTTCACATTAAAGTTTTCATCCAGGAGAATGTTTTCTAGTTTAAGGTCACGGTGCACAATTCCCTTCTGTATGGGATAGACAAACTTCAGAGTTAATCTATTGGGATGGGGTTGCTTGCGTTGGTCAGATGTTAAACTTTAAAAATCTCAACCCCAAACCCAACTCACATTGAAGCTGGACCATTTTGCATTAAACAGAGACAGGAAGGGAGCTGGGTAACGAACTTGCTCCCAGACGACAGGTTCATCATTTAAATATTAAAATAAGTCTACCTCAGATTTTATCTTGCTTATATTTTTTAACCCTGGCATGATGGGTTTCCTAGATCTCAGGAAATCCAGCAGTTGAAAGGAAGTGTAAACAGCTGTATGCAACAGATAAGTGACTTTTCAGCATTAGAGGAAACAGAGTATTTCTTTCCAGGATTGTTCAATCCTCCACCTGGGATCATGCCCTGCTCTGAGATCTCTGACCCTTTTTTATGTCATTAAAAGAAATGTGCTTTTAGGATACAAGGAAGAATGCAATATGACAATAAGCACAAAACAATATTGATTACTTGAAGTCTATACATAAATTCAACAAAACCAACAATTTCATTTTTGTAAAGTTTCTGAGATCTTTTTTAAGAATGGTTGTATGGGATAGTGATTAATCATTTTAAATCATATTCCTCCCTATTAGTGAGTTAAGTTGGACTCCTAGACATTTATAGCATGGAAGAACAATATTCAACTTATTCTGTTTACACCAGTCAACAAAGGTCTGACTACACTAATGCTGATGTACAACTTTTGACCCACACCCCTGGAGGCTATAATAATGAGTGGATATCTAAATACTGTCTTGATCACACTTTTATATAGTGAGGTCCAGATTCCTACCACTTTCTGATTGGAAAAGACTTTTCCTCAACACAATTCTCAGTGTTCTACCTCTTAACTTAAAGCTTTGGCCCTGGTTATTGACTCCTCAACTAATGGAAAATGCTTTCCTATCCACCCTTTCAATTCTCCTCATAATTTTAAATAGCTCTATCCCCTCTCAACTTTTGCTGCTCCAAGGAAATTAACCCTTCCTTATCCAATCTTTCCTCATTGCTAACATCCTCCAGCCCTGACAGGATCTTGGTAAATCACATCCTTCATACAATGTGACAATCAGAACTGCAAGCAGTAATCCAACTATGGCCTAGCCAGCATTTTATACAGTTCGAAAATGACCTCCTTGCTCTTGTATTCTATACCTCAACTAATAGAAGCAAATATCCCATGTATCTCCTTAATCACCTTATCTACCTGCTTTGCCATTTTACAAGGATTTGTGAATACATTCACAAATTTCCCTCTGATCTTCAGTAGTTCCCAGGATCCTACCATTCATAGTGTATTCCCTTGCCTTGTTAGCCCTCTTACGTGCATTACCTTGTACTTTTCCAAGTTGGATTCCATTTTCCACCATTCTATCCACCTGCGGTTTGCAGCTAATCTCTTCACTATTTACAACACCCTACCAATTTTCATGTCATCTGCAAATGTCTTGATCACATTTGCTACATTTAAGTCCAGATCCTTAATGTACACCACAAATAGCATGTGCTCCAGTACCAAGCTCTGCAGAACCCTACAGTGGTGGAAACAGGTTTCAAGTCACAAAAACATCCCTCTACCATCACCCTCTGTTTTCTATCTCTCAGCCAATTTTAGATCCATATGCCACTTTGCCTTGCATCCATGGACTTTCTTGACCAGTTTGCCATGATATCATCCCTCCTCTCTGCTATAATTGATTCCTTGATCAATATTGGGACTCCCCCTCCTTTTCTGTCCCTCTCTGTATCACATATCAATATCTTATAACCAGGAATGTTGAGCTGCCAATCCTGCACATCTTTCAGACAAGTCTCTATCCTTGCTATGATGTCATACTTCCATGTGCCTATCTGTGTCCTCAGTTCATCTATCTTATTCCTCAGGTTCCTTGCATTAAAATATATTCCATTTACCCTTCCTAAATTCACTTCTTTCTTATCTAGCTGATGTTTCCTCAGGCTTTCAGACTCACTTACTGGTGTTTTGATTTCTAAATCCACCTCAGCTTCTCTCTCCTCTGAACTACTTGTCAGGATCCCATTCCCCTGCCAATCTAGTCATTTAGGATCAGGATATTGACCAGGCTGAAAAAAAACATCATTTTTAAGTGAAGTAGAACTTCATCTACGAGCACAGTAATTCTGTTAAACCCATATCTTGGTCCTTTCTTTGAAAGAAAATTGGTTTTCAACAAAATGCTTTAAGCAGGAACAATGAATTTTAATGTAACTTTCATCAGTCTGTGAAACCTTATTTTCTAATGTGCTTGTACGCCTGTTTGAGTTTGAATTGCTTAGGTTATCAGTTACAAAATATTTGGAGTAACACTGCAGAAACAAATGCAAGGACAAAAAGGGATAATTTTATGAGTGCTTACCACTGTTAAGGTACCTCATCTATTGGTAGTACATACTGAAAGATCATAGTCATGATGCCTATAATTAGATTACATTGGTCATGAGCTAAAATTCTGGGGTCCCAAGTACTAAGACATTAATGGCTAGCATGAAGCTCCACCAAGCTACCATGAGCTGCCAACCTAACAGGCCCTTGCTGTCAAAGTGGTCACTGAGGAGTCATGGCAGTTTCCAAGCTTAGAAACAGGGTCTTAGTACCTCTCTTAAAGCACTATCGACAATCAAAATTCTACCCATTAAAGTTAATAATACTACCATCAGACATTGAAGAAACTCTACTGCTGTGTAGCTGAAACAGTCTGAGCACAGGAACAAATCATTAACTAAATGTCACTGTCACTGTTTTATATTTGGAGTATTGGGAATTCAGTATTTTGATTGGCATTTACATACATATATTTGGAGTAGTTTCTGCTACAAGCACTCATAGATCATAGAATCCCTACAGTGTGGAAACAGGCCCTTCGGCCCAACAAATCCACACTGACCCTCAGAGCATCCCACCCATCCCCCTATAACCCACCTAATCTACACATTCCTGAACACAATGGGCAATTTAGCATGGCCAATCCACCTAGCCTGCACATCTTTGGACTGTGGGAGGAAACCGGAGCACTCAGAAGAAACCCATGCAGACACGGGGAGAATGTGCAAACTCCACACAGACAGTCGCCCAACGGTGAAATCGAACCCGGGTTCCTGGCGCTGTGAGGCAGCAGTGCTAACCACTGAGCCACCGTGGTATCCATGTTTCCACATTCTAGTTGGAAATCTTTTGTTTTTGTTGACATGATTATAATTTGCATGGCTGTATGTGTGTTTATAATTATGCACATAGAGGGGCTTTATGGTGCAGTGGTAGTGTCCCTATCTCTGACCCAGGAGGCCTGATTTCAAGTCCCACCTGCTCCAAACGTGTGTAATAACATCTCTGAACAGGTTCAGTATAGAATGTCTGTAGTTGTGCCTGTTGCTGAGTACAATTATTATACAATTGGAGTGTGTATTTGCAATTTATAAAGTTGCATATATGTATGTGTATTGTTGGATATATGTATTGCTGTATCTGCTTATAGCTGTTTACGTTGCTGCTAGAGAATTGTACAGCTTAGGGTGTAATTAGATTGTTATAATTAAGGTTGTGTCCTTTGCTCATTCTGGTAACTGCAGCATTTGCTGTGGGTGTGGCAATTGTTGCACTGATCGCAGTGTCTGTATCAATGGCTGTACATAAAGGTGGGTTTATATGTATGGGTAGAACATTATTACATAGAGCATTGTGAGGATTGCTTTGGTGGCGAGAGTGGACACGGAACAGACAGATGGAACTATTCCATTGCTCTTCAGTGATCTAGAATTTAAATAGTCAGTTCCTATCATCCATCATCTCCACTCTCATCAATCCTCTGGGCAGCAATATTATTAATATGCAAGGATTTATTAATATGACAATGTCAGCAGGCATAATGTCTGGGCACCACACACAAACAGAAAGTCCCCATCAAAATAGCATGGAAATTTTTTTACCTTGTGACAGTAGTGAATTGCTGAGACAATTTGCCTGAAAGCTCTGCGTGCTTCATTCTCAGACAGCCTACGACGTTCATTTACATAATCATACAATTCGCCATTACTGCAGTAGTCCATTACAATTATAATCTTATCCTTATTTTCAAACACTGCAGAAAAAAAAAACATGTAAGTGATCACTGAATCTGGAGCATATTGTTTTCTCTGGTTCACATGGCTGGTCAGCATTTATTGCCCATCCCTAGTTGCCCTTGAGAAGGTGATAGTGAGCTTCCTTCTTGAACCAGTGCAGTCCATGTGTTGTAAGTTGACTCACAATGCCCTTAGGGAGGACATTCCAGGGGTTGATCCAGCAACAGTGAAGGAATGGCAATATATTTCCACGTCAGGATGGTGAGTGACTTGGAAGGGAACTTGCAGGTGGAGTTGTTCCCAAGTGTTTGGTGTCCTTTTTATCACCTAATATTATTGATTATAGGAAGAAAACCCACATTCTGGATTTTAATTTTAAACTCCATGTTCATTTCTTTGGAATTGTGTGCAAAAACAAAGAATTAGAAGTAGGAGTAGGCCATTTGGCCCCTCAAGGATGCTGTGCCATTCAAAAAGGTTATGGCTGACGTGACTGTGGCCTTATCTCCATTCTCCTGTCTGACCTTTATAAACCGTTTGTTGATCACAAAATCTGTCTAACTTGGGCTTGAATTTTTTGATTGATCCAACCTCCACTACTTTCCGACAAAGAGAATTCTACAAAGAGACAAATAATCTTCTCACCTCAATCCTAAATCTGAAATGAGCTGTAAGCACTATAAACGATTTTAGCTCCTAACTGTGAGCCAAAAAAAAACTTCAACATGTTATAATTTCCATAGGTTGAGAATTTATAGAGTCTTTCCACACCATTGAGTAAGACAATTTTTTTTGCTCCAAATACAGAGATTGACACAGCAATACAGTATCTCTACAGCCACAGGTATAAATTAAAAACTATCTCCCTAAATCATGACTGGAAGGTAATGTTTGCATTTTTTGAATTCCACTGGTAGTTAGTAATAGGTTCAGCCCACATGTTGACAGTAATATCTCTGAATTCCACAGATATGTGCAAACCCTTAGAAGCTCATTTTAACTTTTGATGGGTGTGAAAGACAGGCAGTAGCAGATTGGTTGCCTATCATTTACCCAGCCTGATTTTTTTTTCTGGGGTGAAACATACAGACAGCATACTGCCATCTGTTTTCCAAAAATTAAAAATGTACTACTTCTCTCGGGCCCACTGACTGATGCTCATAATCTGGGGATAATCGTCACTGCCTGGCTGGTATTATGGCAGACTATGTGTTGAACAAAACACTTTATAAAATATTTTGCTCCATGAACATGTGTGGTCCATTCATTATCTCTTTAATTTATGATGATACCCACCTTCATAAATGCGTATGATATTAGGGTGGTTAAGAGACGACATGATTTCCATTTCCCGCTGGATGTGGATCCGATCCGGTTCCTCTTGAAACCTATCCTTTCGCACAGATTTAATAGCTACCTGTGAACAAGAACCCATCAAGAACATCAGGTGATGATGAAAATTTCAGTTCAAAATCACCAAAAGGAAATCAGAGCAAAGGCATATGAAGAATTGGGCTTCAATTAAAGTAATCATTTATTTCATGCCCTCTGAACAAAAGAAGCTTGTGTGCATGGAGATGAAATTATAGAAGCATAAAGTCAGAATCATACAACACGGAAATGGGCCCATCAGTCCAACTTGTCCATGCTGACCAGGTTTCCCAACATACACTAGTCCCATCTGCCTGTGTTTGAATCATATCCCTCTAAACCTTTCCTGTTCATGTACCTGTCTAAATGTCTTTTAGATTTGGTAATTGTACTCGCTTCTACCACTTCCTCTGGCAGTTTGTTCCATACACGCATCACTCTCTGTGTGAAAAGTTGCCCCTCAGGTCTCTTTTAAATCTCTCCCCCTCACCTTAAACCTTTGCCCTGGAGAAAATATCTTGGCTAATTCCACACAGTCACCCAAAGGTGGATTCGAACCTGGGTCCCTGGTGTTGTAACCACTGAGCCACCATGTTGTCCTGAACCCTCTCCAGTTTAATAACATCCTTCCTCTAGCAGGGTGACCAGAATTGTATGCAGTACTCCAAAAGTAGCCTCCCCAATGTCTTGTACATCTGCAACATGACGTCCCAACTCCGACACTCAATGCTGTGAACAATGAAAGCGAGTGTGCCAAACGTCTTCTTCACCACCCTGTCTACCCATGATGTCATTTTCAAGGAACTATGTACCTGCACCTCTAAGTCTCTGTGTTCAACAACACTCGCCAAAGCCTTACTATTTACTGTGTGAGTCCTATCCTGATTTGTCTTACCAAAATGCAACACCTTACATTTATCTAAATTAAACCTCCATCTGCTGCTCCTCAGCCCATTAGCCCAGCTGATCAAGATCTTGTTGTACTCTTAGATAACCTTCTTCACGGTCCACTATACCGTCAATTTCGGTGTCATCTGTAAACTAATTTACCATGCCTCTTACATTCTCATCTACATCGTTTATATAAATGACAAACAAAGGTGGATCCAGCACCGATCCTTGCGGCACACAGACTGGTCACAGGCCTCCAGTCTGAACACCAGCCCTCTACCCTCTGTCTCCTACTGTCAAGCCAATTTTGTATCCAATTGGCTAGCTTTCCCTGGATCCCTTGTAATCTAATCTTACTAACCAGTCTACCATGCGGAACCTTGTTGAAGGCCTTATTAAAGTCCATGTATACTAGAATTGCACTTGTTTTGGCCTCTACACCTATTAGAGTAGAGCTTTCCAAAATTAGAGTCAGGACCCTGGGTGGGATCATCAGCTAAAGTGTTGAGTTTGTAGGCTCCCGGGGCAGTATTGGCCATAGTGGAGCTCTGATTGAGTTCTAAGATCTATGTTTCCACTGTAACACACAAGCATTGATTGTCTCTCAGGCCCTGGTCACTTCCCAGTTCCCATTGAGGAGTCGCAACAATTTTCAAGCCTTGAATAGGGGTTATTGTAGGAAAAAGTTTATGAAGCACCGAATTAAAAGCTATTTTGTGAACACATTGTTTCATTGAGCAGAAAGAGCAGATTGAAAAGCTAGGGCAATAGTGTTGACCAATGTTAACCAGTGAGGAAGAATCTCAACTGAGAGCAAAGGACTATTTGATTCCAAAGTGCACAAGTAGCATGTTTCTGAGACATTGTGTTTTCACTGGTAAACTATGTAGACACTTATACACTCATGTAACCTTTGGGGCTAGGATTCATTTGTACCCATGAACAAAATAAAAACTGTTGTCCTTTTCTGATGAAGGGTCTAGGCCCGAAACGTCAGCCTTTCTGCTCCTATGATGCTGCTTGGCCTGCTGTGTTCATCTAGCCCTGCACCTTGTTGTCTCGGATTCTCCAGCATCTGCAGTTCCTACTATCTCTGTTGTACAGTAGCTTTCTTTTGCCAAAGAACATGGAGTGCTGGTTCTCTTTGAGATGCTGTTATGCTGTTCACCTGACTCCTCTTTATTTGTTTGAAAGAACTGATGTATTCCAAATTCTGATTTAGTGTTCTCATTTTGAATTTTTTCTTTGGTCCAATCAGGTTTCACGGACGGAGATAAAAAGGACTCGCACTGTTATCACTGTCAGGCACAATTCATAGTCTCAAGCAAGATAACATTGTTTTCAGTAGGACTTCACAGATTTCTGATAACTTTTATCAGACAGTGGGTGGTGTTAAACCATTCCAGTTTATTTTTATTCGGAGTTATCTACTGAGCAAAAGGGCAAAGCATGCAACTCTACAATTCCAGAAATGTACAAGGATTATTTAAAGAATACCTCACCTCAGGAATGTTTGCAGATGCCATTGCTGCAACTCAGTTCTTGACATTTTGTGGTTGTAAGTGCGTTAGAGGTTGTGAACAGCGTATGTTCAGCATCAATATTCAGAAAATCTCAAATAAATTTTGACAAATGGTGAAAAGTAACTGTAAATATTAGACTCTCTTTTGACTTCATCCACCCGGCAATCACTTAATGATGTCTCTACAATTACTGTGTAAGCAGTACTGTCAGACACTTATCTTTATAATCTTTTGCTCTTTAGGGCCACTCTGCTGCACTGTTTTTGAAGGTTTATTTAATCTAATGCTTGGCACCTTAGATTCCTCTTGCAAAGCAATTTTCCCCCATCAACTTGAATTGTCTGCAAATAAATCTACAAAAGATAATTTCCCTTACAAATGTAAAGAGTGGCTCAGTTCTTGGCATTTCTAATCTTATTTCCTCATCTTCTGCCTTTCCTATTGAACCTTTCCTTGAAAATACAACTTGCCGTTCCTCATTGCCTCTGCTCACTTGGGTCTTTCATGGGTTTCCTTTCAATTCTCAGTTCCTTTGCTGCCTTTGTCACACCTCTCTTACTTTTTACCTTGTTTTCAGTCAACTCCATATATATGATGAAATGCATACTTTAAATGCAAGACAAAAATTACTAATGTATTAATAATGTTACGAACGCACAAGTACTCAACATGTTCTTTTGAAATTTCTGGATTTGCTATTTTAATGAGATATGACCTGATTTAAAATAAACAAATTGAAGTTTCACATGCTTTGCACAAAAAGAAGATGAAATTAGCTGCAGCTGGTAGTGAAGTAGTGGGCTAATATCAAATTACCTGTCTACTTTACATGATACTCAAATTCCTTTTCCATTAAGTTGACAAATCCTATCACCAGTCTGCTTAAAATGAAAACACAATCCTTTGTATTTTACTGTACATTAAGTTGCTGTGTATTTCATTTAGATCGCTTTTGTCTGTGATTCAATTATGATGCTTTCAAGGAGCTAAAGAGGGGAGAAGCTATACAGGGACCCAAACAGAATGATGTAAATTTTAAAAACCAAAAGAACTGTGGATGCTGTAAATCAGAAACAAAAACAGAAATTGCTGGAAAGGCTCAGTAGGTTTGAGTGAAGTAGTGGGCTGCTATCAATTCACCTGTTTATCTTACATTACATTTGATATTCTTTTCCATTAAATTGACCAATCCCATCGCCTGTTCTGAGGAAGGGCCACTCGACCCGAAACGTTAACTCTGATTTCTTTCCAGAGATGATGTAAATTTTACTTGGAATGTTGAAAACCAGGAGCCAGTTTAGGTAAATGAGCACAGGGATGAATAACTCAGATCTGGGATGGGATAGGACAGGATATGAACAATGAAGGTCTTGAATGGGTGTAGAGAGTAAAGGATGGAACCATCCTAGAGAACACTGGAATAAAAAAACTTGCAATTATCTAATTCCTTACATGATCTCAGGGCATCACTAAGTGTTTTACATTCGTGGATGGACTTTTGAAGTGTATTATTTCTTGTAATGAATGTTTACACCTGGAGGTGATATTTTTATATACTTTCACCATCGAAATCAACTATTACTGCATTACTACAAGTGGCTATGGCTCATCAAGAGTGTGGATGAGGGTTTCAGCAGCAAATGATCTGAAGAAGGGTCTAGGCCCGAAACGTCAGCCTTCCTGCTCCTCTGATGCTGCTTGGCCTGCTGTGTTCATCCAGCTCTACACCTTGTTGTCATAGAAGTGCAGGTGGATGTTTCTCACAGAGGTGACAGTAATGTCATTAATGGGACCATGGTTGTAGAGAGGCCACAGGGAAAGGAGGACAAGTGGATGAATATAAGGAAAGGGTAATTCAAAGGGGCCAGCACAGCAGTGAAATTATTGGACAGATTGTAAGGGGATTTGAAATGAAGATTGAAAATACTGCAATGAGGAGTTGCTGAGTAGAGGCTCAGGGAAGGAAGAATAGAAAAAAAAAACTTTTGAGATGATAATTTGGAGAAAGTAGTTGAATTTTAAAGGTAATTCAAGACGTGAAACATGCTCAGGTGTTTGAGTGAGAGTAAGAAGTCAAAGAGGTATGGGAGAGACCATGATGTGATTTGGTGTTGGAAGGCATTCAGAATCTGTGGTAGAGAGGTCATTGTATTCTACAGAATATTATACTAGATGGCTTATCTTATTTGTAGTCATGTTTATGACCAAGCAAAATAACAGTCTTTTCCATACATTACCAAAACACCAAACTCAGAATACACAACTTAGCTATTGTCGTTACAAAATTTCTGCTCCTGGACATTTAGATTTTCTTGTATTCAAAACATATGGCCTATTCTGACTGTGTACTACATATTCTTTTCTGACCTTATAGTTTTGCCCAGAGTCATATGCATAGCATTACTGTGTTTCTAAGGGATCTGTAGGATAATTTAATTTGACATCATTTGATTTTGTAGAACGTGTGAAGCATGAAAGGCTTTGTGTGTTTATTCCAATGGAAATGTTCTGTTTGACATCTTGTTTAGATAATTTAATCAGTTTCTTTATCGAAGTTCCTCGTCCTTTGCACATTTCTCCATACCACCCTCAGAACACGCAAGCCACAGATTAACTATTTTCAGAATTTCTTTTCACTTCAATGCAGCCAATGTTCTTGTTCTAATTCCTGAGTTGAGCCACGTGCCTCAAACTGGTGGAAGATTAATGACAGTAGACAGATTGAGGGTGAGTACTAGGGGGAGGTCTGTACTACTAAATCCTTTCATTCTCATGTGCTTACGCAGATAGTTTTTCTCTGCACATCAACAATGACTGGAGACAGAAATTAACACAAGAATCATTGGAACTTATTCTGAGGAGAATAGTTTAGAATATCTTGTACAGCAGTATCCTACTTCCAGTTGCTGTGATTTCAACACGTCATCATTTTGCAATAACAGTTTGTTAGGCAGTAAGAGCATTCACTTATATTAAAAAAAAATTTAATGTAGTAATTGTCATCAGTATTAGGAATAGGAATTTTTGATCCTAGGTTTGAAACCAGTGAAAATCTCGATTCACGTTTTCTGACAAAGAATTGTATTTCCCTTTTAATAATAAAATGCTTCCAATTTTAATCTTTAGAAACTGCATTTTATCCTTTGGACCATATATATTGCCATTTTCATTGTGTCACCTTCATCATTATTGGCTATTGATAAACAGGACTGACTGCAAATGCTCATGCTGTTTCTTTTAAATTCTGGTTATCAGGTTGGTAGGTAACCATGCAATGGCCGTGGTAGGTTGGCTGGTTTGTATCATAATGACCTTGTAATAAACATACATTCAGTATTCAAGGTGAACTTGCAGAACTTACAAACCTAAACTGATTAATATCTGGGATGCACTGACTACTCTCTGTTCATGTGCAAAAGGAGAAATTTTCACTGTGCTCCATGTGTAATGAAATGACTGTCCTAATATGGGGGACAACATTTTGGAATAGCATAGAAGAAATTATGGTCAGGAAATCCAAAGGGTAGGATTTTCTGAACGTTGTGGAGTTTCTCTGCAGCCATGATTAAGTAACTTTCGTGAAACAAAGACAGAAAGCGATGGAGAAACTCAGCACGTCTAGCAGTATCCTTGGGAAAAAAAAATCAGAGTTAACATTTTAAGTTCAGTCTTTATGAAGGGTTGCTAGACTTGAAAGAAAAACTCTGTTTTTCTCTTAATAAAAACCAAAAGAACTGCAGATGCTGTAAATCAGGAACAAAAACAAAGTTGCTGGAAAAGCTCAGCAGGTCTGGCAGCATCTGTGAAGGAGAAAGCAGAGTTAACGTTTCGGGTCCGGTGACGCTTCCTCAGAACTGGCCAGTTCTGAGGCAGGGTCACCGGACCCGAAACGTTACCTCTGTTTTCCCCTTCATAGATGCTGCCAGACCTGCTGACTTTCTCCATCTTTTTCTTGCTTTGCTTCGGACCTCCAGCATTCACAGTTCTTTGTTTTATTTAAGTAACTTTTGTGTTTGTGGGTAGAGATCACCAGTGATGTGAGTTGAATATGGCCAAAGGAGTCAGAGGGATATCACTTGGTGGATAGCCAGAGATTGGGAAAGATTGTGGACTGTAATGTTGAGGTTTGGTGATAACAAAAATGAAATTTTGGGGAAATTATAAAGCTGAGTAGAACATTTCTCATAAGCTCGTTAGGCATGGATGAAACACTCATGCTCCTACAGGCTCACAAGCTGTGCTTCAAAAGCATTTGCCTTATGGATTCCACCATTCTTGCCAATTTTTGCTATTTAGTTTTGCAAGGCCCAGTAAATGAATCAACATGGGTTTAGACCAGAAACAATGTAAAACTAAAGGCTTCCTTAGAAGCTTTCAATTTCAGGCACATCTTTAAGAATGGGTTGATTGCTCTTCCTCTTCTGCTCAAATTCCATTAGAATCGTTGTGGTCTTAATAGACAGATTGATCTCCTGTTTCAGATTCTTAACTTCCCCTTACCTAGTTTATACTTTTCTTGAAGTAATACAAACCATAAATCAGCCCCCACTCCTTGTTGTAGTGATTGGAATGTGATCAGCCAGGTAGACCTTATAGAATATGAGTTCCCTGATTGGGGTTGTTAACCTGGTCCAATCAGGGAGCCCTGGATGACAGATATAAAGAGGAGTGTCAGGGGTTCTGTTCCCTCTCAGAGCTGGCTCTGAGCTAGCTGAGTCAGTGTCTTGTACTATGCACATGCAAATAAAGGGTTACGTGGTGACAGGATACCAGCCTTTGTGGAGTTATGTCACTAATGGTTAGTGAGTGTAACAATTTTTCTACAACATGGTATCAATCTCTCAAACTGTTTAATGTCACATTACAAACAAGGTCAAAATTCTAATTTCTGGTCTTAGTTTTCCATTATATCTTTTCATTGATCAAGAAAAGTCTACATTACCTTTAAAATGTAAAACCTCGATTGATTATGCTGCTAATTCAGATGCTTACACATTGTTTTTTTGTAAAATTTTCTCCTCTTTGTCTAAGTCCCACTGGACCCAGTTTCCCTAACATTATGGCATAAACCTGCAGTTCCCCTCAAGGGCAACAATACGGTGAAATG